ACAACAAACGCCCATGAATAACTAGAGCAATTCTTGGGAAAAAGATGTGGGGAGCCATTACCCTCCCCAACCTCAAAATGTACTAGAAAGCGGTAATAATTCAAACAGCATGGTACTGGAACAAAGGTAGGGCCACATACCAATGGAACAGGGTGGAATCGGTACACACAACCCCAAATGTATGAACATCTAATCTTTGACAAGGGAGCAAGAAATGTGAAGTGGAGCAAGGAGAGCCTCTTCAACAAATGGTGCTGGCAAAACTGGACAACCACATGCAAAAAAAAATGGGCTTAGACCTCGACCTAACACGAGGCACAAAAGTCAGATCAAAATAGATTAAAGATCTCAACATCAGGCCAAATTCCATAAGGTATATCAAAGACAAGGTCGGAAAAAACCCTCCACGATATTGAGGCTAACGGTATCTTCAAAGATGACACTGCACTGACCATCCAAGTGGAAACAGAGATAAACAAATGGGTCTATCTTAAATTAAGAAGCTTCTGCACATCAGGCTAGAGCGATAGCACAGCGGGTAGGGAGCTTGCCTTGCACGCGGCAGACCCTGGTTTGATTCCGAGCATCCCATATGGTCCCCTGAGCACCGCCAGGGGTAACTCCTGAATGCAGAGCCAGGATTAACCCCTGTGCATTGCCAGGTGTGATCCAAAAACCAAAATAAATTAATAAAGAAAGAATCTTCTGCACCCCAAAAGATACAGTGACCAGAATACAAAGACAATCTACAGAATGGGAAAAGATATTCACCCAATACCCCATCTGATAAGCGGTTGATATTAAGGATATACAAAGCACTGGTTGAACTCCACAAGAAGAAAACATCCAAGCCCATCAAAAAATTGGATGGTAAAATGAACTGAAACTTTCTCAAAGAAGAAATCTGAATGGCTAAAAGGCACATGAGAAAAAGCTCTACATCACTAATCATCAGGGTAATGCATATAGAAACAACAATGAGATATCATCTCACACCACAGAGTCTGGCCTACATCCAAATGAACAAAGACAGCCAGTGATGGCACAGATGTGGCGAGAAAGGGACCCTCCTTCACTGCTGGTGGGAATGCCAACTGGTTCATCCCTTTTGGAAAACAGTATGGACGATTATCAAAAAATTAGAAGAAATTGAGCTCCCATTTTATCCTGCAATACCACTCCTGGGAATATATTCTGGAGAGGCAAAAAAGTATAGCTGAAATGACATCTGCACTTCTATGTTCGTTGCTGCACTGTTAACAATAGCCAAAATCTGGAAAAAAAACCCGAGTGCCCAAGAACAGATGACCGGTTAAAGAAACTTTGGTACACCTATACAATGGAGTACTATTCAGTTGTTAGAAAAGATGAAGTCATGAAATTTACATGCAAGTGGTACTACATGGAAAGTATCATGCTAAGCGAAGTGAGTCAGAAAGAGAGGGACAGGCATAGAAAGATTACATTCATCTGGGGAAAATAAAGTAACAAACTAGGAGACTAACATCCAAGAAGAGTCGAGATAAGTACCAGGAGGTTCACTCCATGGCTTGAAGGTCAGCCGCACATGCTAGGGGAAAAGGCAGCTCAGATAGAGAAGGGAACACCAAATAAACTGTGTCGGGAGGATCCTCCCAGGATGGGAGATGCATGCTGAAAGTATACTACAGACCAAACATGATTGCCACTCAATGCCTCTTTTGCAAACCTCTACAACCAAAAGGAGATAGAGAACAAAAGGGAATGTCCTGCCACAGAGGCGGGATGGGATGGGGGATATGGGGATGTGGGAGGGATACTGGGATCATTAGGGATGGAGAATGGGCACTGGTGGAGGGATGGGTACTCGATCATTATATAACTGAAACCCAAGCACAAAAACTTGTAATGTCCACAACTGGATCTCATGGTATTTAACCAATAAAAATAAGAAAAGAAAAATAGAAAACATGCTACATACCTGTTTTAAATTATGAAAGGAAAAGACTTTTCAAGCACATAGATCTTGTTGAGGATGTATTCTATGGTGTTTCTATTAATACTGTTTCATTTAATCTTTTTCAATCATAAAAAATCTTTGAGGGGAATGGATTTTCACCCAATACCCATCCGATTAGGGTTGATATCAAGGATATACAAAGTACTGGTTGAACTCCACAAGAAGAAAACATCCGACCCCATCAAAAATGGGGTGGTGAAATGAACAGAAACTTTCTCAAAAAAGAAATCCGAATGGGTAAAAGGCACATGAGAAAATGCTCTACATCACTAATCATCAGGGAAACGCAGATGAAAATAACAATGAGGTATCATCTCACACCATAGTGACTGGCCCACGTCCAAAAGAACAAAAGCAACCGGTGTTGGCGGATGTGGGGAGAAAGGGACTCTCCTCCACTGCTGGTAGAAATGCTTACTGGTTCAGCCCTTTTGGAAAATAGTATGGACGATTCTAAAAAATTAGAAATTTAGCTCCCATTTGACCCAGCAATACCACTTCTGGGAATATATCCCAGGGAGGCAAAATAAGTATAGTCGAAATGACATCTGCACTGGTATGTTAATTGCTGCACTGTTTACAATAGCCAAAATCTGGGGAAAAAAAACTAAGTGCCCAAGAACAGATGAATGGTTAAAGAAACTTTGGTACATCTACACTATGGAATACTATGAAGCTGTTAGAAAAGATGAAATCATGAAATTTTCATATAAGTGGATCAACATGGAAAGTATCATGTTAAGTGAAATGAGTCAGAAAGAGAGGGACAGGCATAATGCACTCATCTGTGGAATATAAAGAAACATAATGGGAGACTAACACCCAAGAGGAGTAGAGATAAGGACCAGGAGGTCTGCTCCACGGCTTGGAAACTGGCCTCATATGTTGGGGGAAAAGGCAGCTCAGATAGAGAAGGGAACACAAGTAAAGGATGTTGGGAGGACCCATTCAGGTTGAAAGATGTGTGCCGAAAGTAGACTACAGACCAAACATGATGGCCACTCAATACCTCCATTGCGAACAACAACACCCAAAAGGAGAGAGAGACCAAAAGGGGATGCCCTGCCACAGAGGTGGGGCAGGGTGTAGGGGAAGGGATTGGGGTGGTAAGAGGGATGCTGGGACCATTGTGGTGGGGGAGGATGGGCACTGGTGGAGGGATGGGTACTTGATCATTGTATGACTGAAACACAAGCACCTAAAGTTCGTAAGCCTGTAACTGTACCTCATGGTGATTCACTAATAAAAAAAAGAATCTCTGAGGTACAACTATGTAAATTACTTTCAAAAAATCCCTGAAACTGGAAAAAGGGGAGAAGGCAGCTGTAAGAGAGAAGGGATCACTAAGAAAATGATGGCTTGAGGAATCAATCGGGATGGGAGATGTGTACTGAAAGTAGATAAAGGACCAAACTTGATAAGCTCTCAGTATCTGTGTTGCAAACTATCATGCCCAAAAGTAGAGAGAGAGTATGGGGAATATTGTCTGACATGGAGGCAGGGGGAGGATGGGAAAGGGGGGTATACTGGGGATATTGGTGGTGGGGAATGTGCACTGGTAGAGGGATGGGTGTTTGATCATTGTGTGATTGTAACCCAAACCTGAAAGCTTGTAGCTATCTCATGGTGATTCAATAAAATTGAAAAACATCCCTGAAACTGTTTATCTCTCTATAGTACATATGATTAATAATTAACAAATATTAATCAGAAATTTGTAATCAGAAATGTACTAATCACCATAAAGAACATTGAAAAGAATGTTCCAGAATAAAATACAATCCCTTGTAATGGGTTATAATTAATTCATTAGTCAATTAATAGTAAACTCTATGAGAAATTGAAAGAAGAGGAATACCAAGAGCTAGAACAGTGAAGGAAGTTGTGATGGGTGTGGAAGAATACTAAACAATTTACTTTTTCAAAAAGAAGATAAGAAATTTCAAGGAATTAGAACAATAGCAGGTTGTTCTAATTGAAAATGGCATGTTGAATTCAAATAAACTGTTCAGTAAACACTGAGCACCTATGTGACACCAAAATTATGCTAGACTCTTGGTGTTACAAAAAGAATTAAACAGGCTATTCAATCCTTGACATCTCATATGTTTCCTTGAGCAGTTTCAGGAGTGAACTCTATGCACAGACTCAAGAGTAGCCATAGAACTGCCAGGTGTGGCCTCTCTCACACACAATAATATAATTAAACAGGCAAGTCGAGTGGTCCACAAATCCAAGGGTATATATACATATATATACAGATATATATAGATATATATACAGAAGAGTTTAATCTGATTTGGTAAAAACTAACAAAGGTGGACTTAGTGAAGCATGGTACTTCAAAAAGAAGAAGTATTTATTACAATTAGGTAGTCAGAACCAGGGGGGTTTAGTTAGAGGTAAAATTCTAGCTAAACTTGGAAGAATGAAAAATAAGCTAACTTGAATAAAAGAATTGAGAGGATCATTGCAAGTTGAGGAGTTAGAGTAAATAAAGCATATCAATGCTTACAAGAAGTTTCAAATTTGGAATTGCAGAAAATTTCTAAGCATATAAGGTAGGAGAGGCATAAGAATAACAGAATAAGAGTGATACTTTAAGCTGAATAAATTGTATTTTACAATGTATATGTTGCAAAACTGAGTTGTTCAAATACACAATGGAATACAATGCAGCTCTAAGAAAGAACAAAGTCATGCAGTTTGAAGCAACATGTATGAAAGTAAAGGATATCATGTTGAGTGATGTCAGAAGACATGGGACAGACTGAATCATCTATCTCCTATGTGGGGATACACAGTTAGGCAGGAACTGAAGTCCAAAGGCAACTTAATGGGAAAACTGATTCACACAATTGAATTCGGGGAAATGTAAAGGAGGGAATTTGGGACTGGCGGAGATACACAGATGATTGGTGTGATGTTGGAATTATGTCCATGAGAACCATTATTAGTAGTATTGTAAACCAAAAAAAAGTCTTAAAAATATCAAGTGATGAAGACTATAGTTTCAGTGATCATTTCTATGGTTAGTTACTATAGAAGTTTCTGTGATTGTGCAGAGCCCCTGAAATAAGGAGCCAGAGCATCCTATCTTGTGCATGAGGCCTGTTCTAGGTGTTGTTTTTTCAACTGCCTATTACTGTTGATGATTGTTCTTCTCTTCTCTTGGAAAAATAAGTATCTTGAGGAAGAACATACAGAAATCAAATTTTAAAAAGAAAAAACACATAAACATATCCATCGATACAAGAAGTGTTAAGAAGAATTTTTGTTTGTTCGAGGGCCACACCTGGCAATCCTCAGGGCTTACTCCTGGCTCTATACTCAGGAATCACCCCTGACAGTGCTTGGGAACATATGAGATGCTGCAATGCAAGGCAAATATTCCACCTGCTGTACTATCACTCTAGCCCCCATACGAGAAGGCTTTTTTGGATAAAACTCAATACCCTCTAATAAAACTCTCAACAAAACAAGCATAGAAATAATCTTCCTCAAGATGTTTATGAGCATTTACAAAAAAATACAAAACTACCACCAGTATCATTCTCTGCAGAGTAAAACTGAAAGCCTCCTCTCTGAAATTGGGCACAAGGCAAAGATGTACATTTTCACCCATTATTGTTCAATATAGTAATGGAACACCTCAACACAGCAACTAAGAGAGAAAAATATATCAAAGTAATTAAAATTGTAAAATAAGAACTAAAACTATTGGTATTTGCATATTATATGATAATATATAGAAGATGCCATAAATGAAGATGCCTAACTATGCCATAGAAAACTCCTCAGAACAGTAAACCATTATAGCCCATAGCAAACTACAGCATCAACACACCAAATCAATTGCATTACTATATGCAAATAATTAACCAAAGCAAAAGGGATATGAAAAGACTACCCTATTAAAAAACAGTTTCCAAAAGATCAAATATTTAATTTAAATTTAGTAACAAAAACCGGTGTTTTAACAAATATGTTAATCACCTGTGCCCTGAGAATTATGTCACTTATGAAATAAATAGGATATCAAGAAATGAAAAAATATTCCATGATAATGGATTAGAAGAATTAACATTATCAAAATTACCATGCTATTCAGAGTATTATGCAGATTCAGTTCAATTCCCATCAAAATCCTGATGAAATTCTTCAAGGACTTAGAAAAATCACTGATAAAATTTGTATGGAACCAAAAACTCCTCTTATAGCCAAAGCCATTCTAAAGAAAAAGAAGTTGTAGTTATAATTTTTCTGGAATTTTTGTGGATTATTTACTTGTTTTGTTTTTTAGCCCACACTTGACTGTGTTCAGGGCTTACTTTTGGTTCTGCATTCACTCCCGACAGAACTCAGGGGTTCAGGGATCAAACACAGGTCGTCACATGCAAAGCAGGTGTCTTACTCACTGTACCACTTCTTCAGGCCAGCATGTCTTGAATCTAAATTATACTCTACAAATACAGTAATCAAAACACCATGATACTGGAGTTAAGGACAATCAAATTGCCTTCTATGTGTAGTAACTAGCGTTTCAGTCTCATAATCTGAAGGACAGACTGCAAAACCAATGGATTTAAATTTAAAATTCAAAAATAAACATTCAGATCTATAGACAGTCATAATAAAGGCTCTGGACAAATGAACTGTAACAAAGAAAGCCTTTTCAACAAATAGTAATAGGAAATTTGGATAACTGCATGTAATAAAAATGAAACAATACCAATCTTACATCATTCATAAAAGTTAATTAAAATGGATTAAAGACCTCTAGATAAACCAAAGTCCATTTAGAAAAATTGAGAGAATATAGGGAGAATTATCCAGAATCTGGATCTCAAAGCCATCTTCAAAGATTTGATCCCACTTGAAAAAAACATGACAACAAAAGTGAAAAAAAAAATAAAAGGGACTACATCAAATTTAAAAGTGTCTGCATGGCAAAAGAAGCTGGAGATAAAACATAAAGATGCTTTGGATTAAAATGAAAAGACACCATACTGAGTGGGAAAATTAATTTGCACATAATACATCAGATAAATATGTCCCATATATAAAGCATTCACAAAGCTAAGCAACAAAGAAATCAATGACCCCATCAAGAAATGGGAATAGGAAATTAACACACACTTTCACAAAGAGGTTATATAGATAGCCAACAAGCATATGAAAAAGTGCTCCTAGTCACTTATTAGTATAATACAAATCAAAGTAGTAGTAAGGTATCGTGTTACACCAGTCAGAGTGACATACATAAAAATACTGGAAACAACCAGTGTTGTCTAGGATGGGGTTTAATAAAAGGAACTCTCATTCACTGTTAGTAGGAAGATTTTCTGATTCAGCATCTAAGGAAAACAGATGTCTCAAAAGAAAGAAAACTATGAATAGAGCTTCCATATTAACCCAGACTTCCATTTATTGGCATCTATTTTCAAAATGCAAAAACACAAATTCAAAAAGATAAGCATATCTAGGTCATTGTAATGTTTAGTACAATAGCCAGGATAAGGAAACAACCCAAATGTCCAACAAGAGATGAGTGGATAAAGAAACTATGGTGTATATATGCAATGGAACACTATGCAGCTATAAGAAAAGATGAAATTACACATTTTGCTGCAACTTGGACAGAACTGGAGGGCATCATGCTGAGCAAAATTAGGCAGATGAAGAAAGACAAGTAACAGATGATTATCTGTGGTATTTAGGAAAACAAATTAAGAGACTATATATATCAATTGATAACAAACTCTTGGTACTGGAAAACAAACCGTGAACCGCAGGTTAGAGAGGAGGTAGGTGGACAAGATGTGACACAGGGGCATGGATGAGGGTGGGGATCCTTTGACGGTGGTGATGTAACATTTACACTGGTGAGGGGATGTTTACCCTGAAAACATAGTTGTCAACACATCATAAACACAATATCCTGATTATAATCATTTTTTAAAATTCTGGCAAAACTTGACTGAATGTAGGAAACAAAGGAGAAGAAGGCCTCTAGATAATCCTTCGGATAGAAGAGATTCTGGTAATAATCAGGATGATAGTCTAGCAATTAAGTAGGTGGTGATCCTGTTAACTAATCAAAATTTCCAAATAAAGTATTGTTTTAGGAAGTAGAAAATTAAACAACAATGAACCTGAGCTTACATATATCTCAGAGTCGGAAAAATATCTGATATGTCCAAGTAAAATTGTTTAATAGGGTGTTGGATATAGAAATTTAGAAAGCAGAAGATACAGGGCATAGAGTCATAATACAGTAGGTAGGGCATTTGCCTTACACGCAGTTGACACTATTCAATCCCTAGCTCCCCATACATAAGTGACCCACCAGGAGTGAACCTTATGAGTAGAGTCAAGAGTAAGCTCTGAGCATCGCCTGGTGCAGCTCAAAAAGCAGAAGAGATAACATCACAGTGGTTTTGAAGAAGTCAGAGGATGAGGGTAAATCATTCAGTGAAAGAGATCTCCCAAGGGGCTGGAACGATAGCACAATGGATAGGGTGTTTGCCTTGCATGCGGCCAACCTGGGTTCGATTCCCAACATCCCATATGGTCCCCCCAAGTACTGCCAGGAGTAATTCCTGAGTGCAGAGCCAGGAGTACCCACAGTGCATCGCCGGGTGTGACCCAAAAAGTGGGGGTGGGGGGTGAAAGATCTCCTGAGGATAACATAATAGTGGACATAACAATAGTAACATATTTACATAACCTTGAGAAGAGTCAGTTTTTAAACTAAGATAGTAGGGGAACTCATGAAAAGGTCATAAAGGAAAGGGCAGAGTTATGAGTGAAAAGGAGAAAGTGATATTAAATAAGCGTTTTGAATGGAGTGGACATGGTCGCATGGAAAGGACTAGGAAAATGTGTGTCCAAAAATGACAGTGCATTCAGGACTAAATAAATAATAGTGAAAACAGTAAGAGCACAGATGCAACAAATGTACAATAAAAATATACTTTGTCTTCTTTCCCTCTGTAGAAGCCATTGTTCTTTCTTGAACACATCTCTCTCTGTTTTTCTCCCCTTTCATATCTCTAAATTTCTCTTAATGAAACTTTAACTTCACTAAAATAATACTTGGATGAAAGGGAAAGAAAAAGGGCAGTTTAAAGTGCGCTCAAGGTTAAAGAATGTATGAGGAGAGGGAGTTTAGAACATTGGATGAAGTCTTTTAAAGTATTGTATTTTAAAATTTTTTGTAATGAATCACCATGAGGTATAGTTACAGACTACAAACTTTCGTCCTTATGTTTCAGTCATGTACTGCATTTTTTTAATTACTGCTAATGATGAAGTGAAGGAAAGCATTAATAATAAGATTAAAATTCCATAGAGACTGAATATCAAGACTTCAGAATATAGAAAGCTATATAATTTTACATAGCATACTCAGTATCCTTAGTGTAAAAATATAAACAGTACACTGGGTAATTTATCCAGGACTGAAATATTACTAGGATGAGAAAATAAAAATGAAGTATATGTAAAGCTTTGGTAAACACTGTTACAGCATTCATGTATGAGATATAGCAATGGAAATACATGCAGTGTACATAAAGAAACAGTTCTAAGAAAATTTGGTATGAGCTGCTGATAAAGGCTCTTACCACTCTGGAAAAGCCAGTATTTTCATTTGATCACGTATCTCTCTCTTTCTCTCCCTTCACATTTCCTTAATTTCTTTCAATACAAAGTATTTTCTTTACTTAAAAAGAGTTACTGATAGAATAAAAGGAAATTTAGTGATCAAAGATGTCTTTAAAGATTTAAGTATAGGTTACTACTGACAAATAAATACTGGAAAATTTACTTGGGGTTAGAAAATATTAAGTTTTAGATACACTGAGTTAAAGATTAAGTGTCTAAATTAAATAATGGGGTTAGAAATTAGCATTATAAACCAAATTAAAAAATAAGGAATACATATCTCAGTTCCATATCATTATGGTAGACACTTCTATACTAATTAGAGCAGGGTTTGATGATGGGCAAGAAAAAAAGCAGTGAGAATGGCAAATAAAGACAAAGAGGTTGATATGGTAGAAACAATGAAATGATATCATATGGCAAATGATGTGGAGACAGAAAGGAGAAAGGGGTGAGAATTGAAACTGTTAAAGTGGCATATGTTGAATTATTTTTATTTTAGCATTTCCTTGTAACATTGACTTCTGTTGTGACTGAATTCATTGAAATTCTTATTAGTTAATTAAAATTTTCTGATTATTTTTCAAATCCTCAAATATTTACTATTTTAAAAATAGAATAGTAAAGCTGGATTGAAAATCTGTTATTTAAACTTCAGTTTGAATTCATTAACTGGGTTATGTTTATGATCAGCAATCTCCCAGCCAGATGAAAAATCCGTCAAATCAAGTTTCTCATTATAGTAACCTTGAAACTTCAAAATTTTGAAATGATCATTCCTTCAGAAGTGACCATAGGGCATGCATTTCTCATAGCTTATTCAGATCCTTTTATCTAATGTACATATGATGAATCAAACTATGCAATGAACACAATAAGAACTCAAAAATATTAATATCATAATAATTAATATCATAATAATTCACATATTAGACTAATTTGTATTGAGGTAGACCATTTCCTTGCCAGTTTCTATTTTAAACACTGGAAATACAGATGTGTTAGATGAATTGACTTCACTAAAAGACCTTATAATTTAATATCGATAAAGAAATGTGGAGAGATAAATAGATGTACTGGTAAAATGAAGCACAGAAGATAAGCCTTGAAGTAAGTAAACTTTATTTCAGGAGGAATAATAGCACAATAGATATTAAGTAGGAATTAACCAAAAGCAGAGGGACATTACAATATATGGCTTAAAAGTTGACAGAAATATCATAAGCATACAGCTGAGAGATAAAATCAGGGAGAACAGATTAGTTCATGTTTGTAGAGTAAGGGCAGGAATGAAATCATGTGGACAACTATACTTAGGTAAGAACTTTTAAACAGAACACAAATAAAAATTTTTAAAAGAATAGGAATACCAGAGAAGAACCAGGGCAAGAGGAGTTGTGTAAGACTAAGGATAGGATTTCAAATAGGGACAAATAAACATTTTTACATATAACAGAAATGCCTAATAAGGAAAGAACAGAAAAATATCAGTTAATGGAGAAAAAGTGGGTGGAAGGGAGAATATGAAAAGGGAATAAAGTACACTAATATTGAGTAAGTATCTGTGTTGTGTGGAGAGGGAAATGGGAAAATGTGGTTAGAAGTGTGAATAGATAACTCAAGTCAGCATCAGAATCTTTTGAGTGCCTCAATGTTTGCCACTTAGTTCCTATGTTAATTTGTTCTCCTTTCCACTTTTATCTAAATAATATACTTTCTCATTGATTGTTTTTCTGAACTATGATTGATGTTCCTCTCCTCTAGTTACCAAAACTATATACACAAAAATCCACGTACTCAACCTCCTTCAGTGATGTATTTAAAAAAAAAAACAAGTTTTGTTCAATAGCTCCTTCAAGGAAAAAGGTATATCCTTAACTGCATTCCTCAGAATGACAAGCCTAGCACCAAATGACATTAAGCCATACTTAGTGATACAGTAGTGCAACCACATTTATACTAATTTTAAATACTTCCTTAGATACTTATGCTATAATATGTATCCATGTTAATATAATACAATATAATATTAAATATTATATTATATATTATATAATAAGGGTCATCTAATAAACCTTTCTGGGTTTCATTTTCTAGGGAAACACAGCCAGAATTAGATGGTACCTAAAGTCCTTATTTATTTAATCTTCTGTGATCTATCTATAACTAGTATTAATCTTCTCATCAATAAGAATAAAGTAGTATAGCCAGACTGATAGTACAGCAGGTAGGATACCTGCCTTGCATGCAGCACCCTGGGTTAAATTCCATGCTCCCCATCTAGTCTTCTAAGACCACCACAAGTGAGCCCTGAAGGCAGAGCCGGAGTTCACTCTGAGCACCACTAGGTATGGCCCAAAAGCCCAAAACAAAAGAGTAAAATTATATATATATATGTGTGTGTGTATATATATATATATATATATATAAACCAGCATGCCTTATGCAACACAAACTGTCCATGAAAGAGTTTTGGGATATATAAACTGTTTACCATTTGCGTCTGCTTTTTCTAGATGAGTTTTCTCTTTTGTCTTATCTATAAATGTCTTCCTATCTTCATTCCTCTTGTGTTTTTTCCCACTATAATGTTGATGGGCCATTAATGGACTATTAAATGAAGCAGGACACAGCTTGCAATACTTGTTTGGATTATTCAAATCCAAATCACTTCTGGAAGAGGGAAGCATAGTCTTGTCTTTAGTCCCACTTTCAGGAGGCTTGACAGCAGAGGACTTCGGAAAACTTGACTCTGCAGAAGTAGTAATAGGTATACCTGCTAAAATAGTCATTATGAGAAATGATCAGTATGGATCAGCTTTTAGAAGTGCATCCATTATCAGTAGTAAAAGAAGACTGAATTCTTTAAAACCCAATTATCTTTTAACTTTTTAATATAGGGCTGCTGGATAAATTCACTCTGGTTAAAAATAATTTTTGTAAGAAGGAAACACATATAAAAGTCTATCACAAAGTTTCTCTGACAAAGAGACAGGATAGAACAATGAACATCAGGTATTGCCTAATTATATTTATTTGAAGAAGCAATAGAAACATGAGAACTGTCTTAGGATGGTTCTTGAAATCAGTGAAGGTAAAAAAGATGGAACAGACTTCTAATTTGATGTAGTTTTAAAAGTAGCAATGTAAGGCAGCTATTCAGTATAGATTTGTGATTACAAAGTAAAATTTATGTAATTATAAAATTTACATTTCCACAATTCCAACTATTTCAGAGATACTGATTTACTCTCCTTTCTGTGGCCAAATTGAGAACTTGGAGAATTAAAGGTAATGCTTTAAAAGATTCTTTCTCTTGCAAATAATATTAATTCTGTCCTTCAGAAAGATGTACAGAAAAACAAAAAAATTATAAAAATGAATAAATTTTAAAATATTTCTGGTTTAATTTATTAAGAAATCAATTTATCAATTTATTATTTACTTTATCAATCTATTAATTTATTCAATTAATTAATTACTAGATTTTAATTTTGGATGAGACCTATACCATGATTTGAAAATAATGTTGGTTAATTTTCCATAACTTATGCCTTATTCTTAGTGTTGAATGTAGTGAGAAGGCAGTAAGTCACTTATTCAACGGAATTAATTGTGTTTTTCTCTATATCATATTTTTTCAAAAACTACTAGATTTCTCCAGGGTGTTTTCTTCCATCTCAGTCTAAGAGTGACATCTTTGGGTGTCATTTCATATGTACTGGTTACTCAATATATCAGGAAAGATGAAAAGGATCACTTTCACTGTCTTCCCGTTGTTCATCAATTTGCTTGAGCGGGCCCAATAATATTGTGAGACTTGTTACTGTGTTTCGCATATTGAATACATCACAGGTAGCTTGCCAGGCTCTGCCAAGCGGGCGAGATACTCTTGGTAGTTTTCCAGGGTCTCCAAGAGGGGCGGAGGAATCAAACTCCAGTCGGCCATATGGGCCGCATGAAAGGCAAATGTCCCAGCTGCTCTGCTATAGCTCTAGCCCAAGGCCAAGGAAAAGGATAGTATTATGAAATTTTCTGTATCTTTGAAATTAAGCATAAAAATTACTCAGGAACTACTGGTTGATAATAATAGTGGTGTTTTTTTCATGTTCCTGAGAAAAAAGAAACTGTCTCAACTGGAGCCATAGCACAGTGGGTAGGAAGTTTGCCTTGCACTCTGCTGACCGAGTTTCGATTCCCAGCATACCATATGGTCCCCCAAGCAAGGCCAGGAGTGATTCCTGAGTGCACGAGCCATGAGTAACCCCTGTGCATCACCGGGTATGACCCAAAAAGAAAAAAAAGATTTAAACTGTCAGAGCGTAAAGAGATTATATAATTTACATTTTGTTCACAATTATAGTCAGGAAATCTGCACCCTAACAATATAGTGCTGAAAACACGGGTCTGAAGACACATATGAGATAATGTTTTGCAAAGTACAAAAAACAAAACTGAGGTATGCTGTGAAGACGAAGGAAGGAGCTAATATTTTATGTTCTATGATTTAATTAGAATTAGAGAGCTCAGTCCACTTATTATTTCTTTATAGTAACATAGCAAATCAATTACTTTCATTTTGATCAAATAAACTGAAAGGGAGTGGTCATAAAATCTCTTAAAATTCAACTAGCAACTATAATCTTCACATTAAATGACAAGGATACAGAAAGAGACTATCTGAGCAGAAGAGAAGTCAAATTATTGCCATGACAAACACCCTAATGAAAAATGTCAGAGTTTCAAAAATTATAAATGTTCTATTGAAGCCAAAGAGGTGAAAAAATCATACCTTTGCATTGTTGATATTGTGGAGTTACCTGATGCTGCTGTTGCATTGATTGCTTTACATTTTTACCATGGAATTTTCCCATATAATGAGACTGAGCAACAACTGGGGAGCTAAAACTCATGTTGCAGAGATCACAAAATTTGTTTCCCTCTAAGCCTTCATTCCTACGTGCCTAAAATAGACACAATCTTGTTAGAAAAAGTTGATGACTCGAGGGTTAGAATTACCATGATAACATAGGCTACTCACCTGAAAATTCCAAATGAACTTCTTCATTTTCTTACCAGGCAGTTCTTTTTGTTCTCCATACTTTTGAAAATAAAACCTGATGTTCTGAGCATGGATTTTACTCTGAAAAAAAAAAGATACAGTGTAACTTTGTTCAGTAACAGACAGATTACACTCCTCAAGTTTGACATCAGCAGTTTTGAGTTTTAATATAATTGGCACATACCAAGAATGTGAAAGTGCCATATGGTAACAAATATCTGAATATTATTTAAAATATAATTTTATAATTAAAAATAATTTTATAATTTAAAAACTGAAAATTTTTCTCTTATTATTTTTGAAAGATTTATAGTTGCTGCCCAATATAAAATCAATTACTCTTTGTTCCCAGATAAGAATAAATTTTCTAGGCTACTTTCAGCAAGATGTGATGATCTGACAAGATTCTATCTAATGAGGTACTGTGTTAAGGGTTGAGTAGAATTTCTGTGAGGCTAAGGGATGAGTCCTATTGCCATCCAATTACCCTACTGCTTCTGAACTATGATGCAAAGGCAGAGTTCCAATTATCATAAAGAACAATGTGAGATCTTGAGGAGTTATTATATAAGGCAAGTGTTGGAGACCTTGAAAATTATATTATGTGATGAAATTAATCTTTCTGGGTTAAACATATTGTAAAACCTCTGAACAAATGTAAAAGGAAATACATAAAATGACTTGACACGGTACAGTGCATAGGGTGCTTGCCTTATATCCAATAGACCTGGAGTTGATCCCTAAAATCTCTTATGATACCCTAAGACCACCAGGAGTAATCACTGAGTGAAGAGCCAGGAGTAACCCCTGGTGTGGCGAGAAAAAAATAAATTAAAAAAAGAAATGATTAAATTGTTGGTATAGGAGAGGGAAAATTAACATTTCTGAATGTATTACTGAGTCACCCTTATAACAAAATTTTAATGGTTAAATACATCAAATAGAAAAGAACAGGAAATAATAAAGCTAAAACCCATGCCCATCATCCAATTTTAACAGATATCTACATTTTACTGTATTTCATGTGATTTTTTCCAAAGAAGTTAAACATTTTAAAATATAATACTATTCCTTTAATGCTCTTAATATTTCCCTTTTTAGTTAATTTATGTAGTCAGCCACTTTCTTAAGTTCCTCTATATCATTCTTCTAATGCTTTTATTTTCATTACATATGTATTCACTAACAATACTATTGTTATCTTAATCATTTATGAAAATGGAACAATACTATGTAAATTATTTTTCAACTTGACTTTTGTTATCTGCTATATTACTTAAATGTATTTATTTTGAATATAGTTCAAGTTAATCAATAATACATTCAATAAGCCAATTCATATACTAGTCATAAAGATCCCTACAGGAGGAAGTTGTTTATCTTCATTTCTGGAATTATAAGCATTTCTATACTCATTATAGGTAAGCATATAATTTAATAGGCATGATGTCCAAGAGTTTCCTTAAAGGAGGTACTTGAAAGTAGCATTTTAACTACTAATTTATGAGGGATTTCAACTTTAATAATTATAAGGTGGGGCATGTAGTTCAGTGGTAAAGTGTGTTTCTGTATACATGAAACCTGTGTTCAATCCCCAGTATGCTCCCCCAAAAATTATTCTAAAACTTCTCTTCAAAGATATTGGATAACTTTACAACTCCAAATGCAGTGTTATGAATGATTCTGTCTTATATGTTCTCCCAAACTGTTACTGCTATAAGATTTTAATTTTTCCCAGTATGATGGTTTTGATAATACAGCTCATGATCACTTAATTTGCATTTCCTGTATGATCAGAAGTCAATGATCTCTTTAATAGCCTGTTCATGTCACTTTCTATTTTCTAATGATAATTGCTCTAATATTTATGTATTATAGATACTTTTATTAGTTATATGATATAGTAGCACTGTAGAAATGTCCTCCCGTTGTTCACCAATTTGCTTGAGCGGGCACCAGTAATGTCTCCATCGTGAGACTTGTTGTTACTGTGTTTGGCATATCGAATATGTCACGGGGAGCTTGCCAGGCTTTACCATGTGGGCGAGATACTACTGGTAGCTTGCTGGGCTCTTCTAGAGGGGTGGAGGAATCGAACCTGGGTCGGCATGGTTGGCCGCATGCAAGGCAAACACCCTATCTTTGTGCTATCGCTCCAGTGCTTATATGATATAAAAATCACTAAATCTGTTTTGTCTTTTAATTTTATGAATTTTTTCATATAAATTTTCTCTAGTTGATATCATAATTTATTGTAATGCTATGTAAAAGACAAAATTATTATTGAGAGGATAGAGAAGAGAAATGTATCATAAAACATGAGTCTCAAAACAAACAAGTATGTATATATGTCCTATGTACGTATTTGTGTCACAACAAAATAATTGAAAAGTAGGGTTAAGACATATATTGATAAATTAAATTTTGTTGCCTCCCTCCATATGTGAAAATCAATATCAATTTAATTAAACACTTTAATGCAATAAGTAAAAACATTTTAAAGTGTTAGAAGAAATTAAAGGGAAATTATATGACAAAAATTCACGGAAGTGATTTTTTTTTTTGCTTTTTGGGTCACGCCTGGCGATGCACAGGGGCTTCTCCTGGCTCTGCACTCAGGAGTTACTCTTGGCGGTGCTCACGGGACCATATGGGGTGCTGGGAATGAATGCGGGTTGGCCGTGTGCAAGGCAAATGCCCTACCCGCTGTGCTATCTCTCCAGCCCCAAGGGGAAGTGATTTTTTTCTTTTGCCAATTTTCAGCAGGGTTCAGGGCAAATTCCTGTGCTCAGGAATCACTCCTGGAAGTTGTCAGGAGACCATAAATGGTGCCAGAGATCCAACCCGAGTCAGCTGCATTCATGTCAAGCACCTTACCCACTGTACTATCTCATCAGCTCCAAAGAATGGCTTCTTAAACATGTTACTATAAGTACAAAGATAAATATCAATAAGTATAAGCAAATTAAATTGTTTTCAGTACTATTGTATTTTTACAACAGTAACGTTATTACAACAAATTATTTTAATAATTTCAATCTAAAATTATTACTATACTGAAATTGTCTGAGAACACTGATGAAGCTGCATACTAAAAGTGAAAAAATTATTTTAATTGGACTATTCTTACAGAAACATCTCTAATATATGATTTTGATCTGATAATTTAACAAGCTTTAACATCAAAATTACAGGTATATTAAAAACTTTATATATGCTACATTACATAGTACAATTTTTATAGGCAGTAAAATATAAAAAGAAAAAAGTTAAAATGATAAGATAAGCTGTCTAGAATCTGGTCCAATATAAAAAACAAAATAGAATACACTATTTTGTAATGTGTGTATACAGAAAATATACTGGAATCATACAAGCAACATTATTTATGATTGTAAACAAGTGACAAAATTAGAATTGACTTTTATTTTACTTATTTTTGCATATTTTCTACATTGAATAGTACTTAATAATCCCATTAGAAGCTATTGTTAAAATTTAATTCATAATTCCAGTTGCAATTATTACAGAACCCTTTGATTCTCTGCCATTACTAACACTAAATTTAAGGTTGTGAAGTTTAAATATGTACTCAGCACTCTCAGACATTTGATCCTGTAGCGCTGTCCTCCCATTGTTCATCGATTTGCTGGAGCGGGCCCAGTAACCTCTCCATTGTGAGACTTGTTGTTACTGTGTTTGTTTATTGTTTACGAATACATCGCGGGTAGCTTGCCAGGCTTTGCCATGTGGGCAAAATACTCTCGGTAGCTTGCCAGGCTCTCCGAGAGGGGCAGAGGAATTGAACCTGGCTCGGCAGGGCCAGAGGCTTGCATGGCAAACGCCCTACCGCTGTGCTATTGCTCCAGTCCATTTGATTTTACTTTTACTTTTCTCATAATATAGTCTCTATGACTAGCATTTGGTAAGTTCAAGAAATGTGCTCAGACACTCTTTACAATAGCCAGAAACTGGAAGAAACCTGAATGCCCACGAACAGATGACTGGTTAAAGAAACTTTGGTACATCTACACAATGGAGTACTATGTAGCTGTTAGAAAAGATAAAGTCATGAAATTTACATACAAGTGGTACAATATGGAAAGTATCATGCTAAGCGAAATGAGTCAGAAAGAGAGGGATAGACATAGAAATATTGCATTCATCTGGGGGATATAAAGTAACAAAGTATGAGATTAATACCCAAGAATAGCTGAGATCAGCACCAGGAGGATTACTCCATAACTTAGAGGCCAGCCGGGTATCCTAGAGGAAAGGGCAGTTCAGATAGAGAAGGGAGCACCACATAAAGGATGTTTGGAGGATCCTCCCAGGAGGGGAGATGCATGTTGAAAGTAGACTATGGACTGAACATGTTTGCCACTCAATGCCTCTTTTGCAGACCACAACACCCAAAAGGAGAGAGAGAACACAGGGGATTGCGCTGCCACAGAGACAGGAGGGATGGGGGGATGGGGGTGGGAGGGAAATTATCCATGGTGGTGGAAAATGGGCACTGGTGGAGGGATGGGTATCTGATCATTGTATAATTGAAACCCAAGCACAAAAAATTGTAAATCTACAACTGTAAAAAAAATAATAAAATAAAGGGAAAAAATTTTTTAAAAATGTGCTCAGAGACATAAAGTGTCTTTTCTCAGATTACATAACAATGGTGGAGTAGAATTGGACCTAGGTCTCTTTAATCCATAGCCAACACAATGACTTATAGTAATTAAATCTCATTCATAAGGACTGCCATAGGATTGCAAAGGGAAAATGAGAATAGGTGTTTAGAAAAGTAGAGGTGACATACTTATTTACGTTAATTGTTTTGTAAACCACAGAATGTCAATCAATTAAAAATGCAAATAAATCAATTCCACATAGAATTTTTATAACTTTACATACAAGATATGAAAGAAATTCAATGGTTCATCATATGATGTAGAAATGGAAGAGAATGCCAAACAACAGGAAAAAAACCACTGTACAATATTTGGCTTAGTCATGTCAATGACTAGCTGTGGAGAATCGCTGCTCTGGAATGCAATTTTCTAATCAATAAACTAATGGAATAATATCAAATATTCCCTAAGTTAGTATTCTATGATTTGGTGTTTAAAAACATATGGCTTTAACCAGTCATCTGTTCTTGGGCACTCAGGTTTTTTCCAGATTCTGGCTATTGTAAAGAGTGCTGCAATGAACAAACAATTGCAGATGTCACTTCGACTATACCTTTTTGCCTCTCTGGGATATATTCCCAGGAGTGCTAAGGCTGGGTCAAATGGCAGATCAAATTCTAATTTTTTGAGAGTCGTCCATACTGTTTTCCAAAAGGGTTGGACCAGCCGGCATTCCCACCAGCAGTGAAGGAGGGTCCCTTTCTCGCCACATCCGCGCCAGCACCAGTTGCTTTTGTTCTTGTGGATGTGGGCCAGTCTCTGTGGTGTGAAATGATATCTCATTGTGGTTTTGATCTGCATCTCTCTGATGATTAGTGATGTAGAGCATTTTCTCATGTGCCTTTTTGCCATTCGAATTTGGATGACTGGTTAAAGAAACTTTGGTACATTTACACAATGGAGCACTATGTAGCTGTTAGAAAAGATGAAGTTATGAAATTTACATACAAGTGGTACTACATGGAAAGTATCATGTTAAGCGAAATGAGTCAGAAAGAGCGGGATAGACACAGAAAGATTGCATTCATCTGGGGAACATAAAGCAACAAAAAGGGAGATTAACACCCAGGAATGGCTGAGATTAGTACCAGGAATTTTGCTCCATGAACGGAAGGCCAGCCACACGTTCTAGGTGAAAAGAAGCTCAGATAGAGAAGAGAGCACCAAATGAAGGGTGTTGTGAGGACCCTCCCAGGGTGGGAGAAGCATGCTAAAAGTAGTCTATAGACCAAACATGATTGCCACTCAAAGCCTCTCTTGCAAAACACAGTACCCAAAAGAAGAGAGAGAGAACAAGGGGGAATACCCTGCCACAGAGGCAGGATGGGACGGGGGGGGGGGGATGGGGGGGATGCTGGGACCCGTGGTGATGGATGATGGGCACTGGTGGAGGGATGGGCACTTGATCATTGTATAACTGAAACCCAAGCACAAAATTTGTAAGCCTATAACTGTACCTCATGGTGTTTCACTAATAAAAAAATAAAAAATAAATTAAAAAAACATATGGCTAAGATATATGTAGGATTTGCTAATTCTGTTGTATAGCACAGCGGTAGGGCATTTGCCTTGCATGCAGCCAACATGGCCAACCCGAGTTCGATTCCTCTGCCCACATGGCAGAGCCTGGAAAGCTACCCATGAAGTATTCGATATGCCAAACACAGTAACAACAAAGTCTCCGATGGAGACGTTACTGGGCCCGCTCAAGCAAATCGATGAACGGGAGGACAGTTGTATACTTTGCATTTATTGTAAAGGAAGAATATAAAGTTCTGTGATATTCCTTGTTTCATGATAATAATATCCTATTCCAGCAAAGTCTCCATTATATCTACAAGAACATGAAAGATAAAGTGCCGTGACCGATGGAAAGTGCAGTAGAATGGTGTGAGTCAAAGGAAACAAGATAGTTCTAAGAGATGGAGCATATGCTTTATGTGCTGAAGAGTAGGTTCTTAGCACTGATAGAGACCCCAAACACTGCATTGGGAGTAGCTCATGAGCACAACAAGGTGTGGACAAAAAGACTGAAAACAGACAGAACAAAAAGAAAAAGAGAGACAGAGCAAGAAGGAAAGAAGAGAGAGAGAAAAAGAAAGAAGGAAGAAAAAAGAAAGAAAGAAAACAAGCTTTGAATAAAAATACCGAGTTTAAATCCAAATGTAAGCTAGTAAATACTGCCGCTCTCTGAGTAAGTCTTCTTATCAAAGAGAAATAATACAACATGTTTCATATAATTCTAAGGAAAAAGATAACATGACTTTTACCTGCTACATTTAAAAAGTAACTTTTTAAAAATCCCCATTATTTTAACCTACCTCATAATGTGAAATCCTTTGTGATTCAAACCGCAGTCTTACTCCACAAACATTACAAAATCTATTTGTAAAAAGTTCAGCATTTTTTCGTTCATTCCAAGAAATATCTATGAATAAAACAGACTATATATAATAATAAATATACAGAATTATCATTTTCATATTCAACTATGTAATTTCACATACTACCTTAAATCTGAATATATGTAACATTCCAGTAAAATATTTTGCTTAATGATTATCCCATTTAATATGGACACATTAATTATGCATCTAATGTCTGATATGGCAAGGGTTAATATTTAGTGTAAGTCTATGCTACAACATTCCAAAGAAAAAGCTATGGGGAGACCAGTAATTTAATGAGCTTCATGAAATATTTTGGGATATCAGTTATGAAAGGCAGTATTAAAAATCTCAGGGCTCAGAAAACTGATACAATTCAACAAGCAACCTGATTAAAATGAGCAGAGGTGGGCCTGGGGAGATAGTACAACATACAGGCCACTTGCAATGCAGGCAGCAGACCTGAAGTTGACCCCTGGCACCCTATATGGTCGCTCAAGCCCCACCAGTAGTGATCCTTGGGCACAGAGCCGGGAGTAAGACCCAGATATTGTTGGGTATGACCCCCAAACAAACAAATAGGCAGAGGATCTAAAGCTATATTTCTCCCCAAAAGACATATGCATGACCTAGAGACACATAAAAAGATGTCCATCATCTCTTATTATTTAGGGAAAGCAAATCAAAATGGTAAGGTGTCAGTTCATATCTGTGAAGACTGTTATTATCCAAAGGACACTGAAGAACAAGTGCTGCAAAAGATTTGAAGGAAAAATGAATATTGCTGGTTAGAAAGTAAATTGGTGCAGTCTTATGAAAATAGTATGGAGATCCTCAAAAAAATCAAGATATACAGGTAATGTGGGAGAATGGTATATCCAATCCACAGACTCAACATTAGAGGAGGGAAGTTGACACTGGTGGTGGGATTTGTGTTGAAATATTAGATGCCTAGAACTCAACTGTCATTAAGTTTGTAAATCATTGTTTTTTTTTTCTTTTTGGGTCACACCTGGTGATGCTCAGGGTTTACTCCTGGCTCTGCACTCAAAAATTACTCCTGGTGATAAAGAGGGACCATAGGGGATGCTGGGAATCAAACCCGGGTTGGCCGTGTGCAAGGCAAACGCCCTACCTGCTGTGCTATCGCTCCAACCCCCAAGTAAATCATTGTTCTTAAATAAAAATATTTTTCAAAAATTAAAATAGTTTCTATACAATCTGATTTCTCATTTTGGGTGTTTACCCAAAGAATACAAGTACACTAATTTAAAAAGAGATATGCCAGGGAGACTCAGAGGGGGACAGGTGAGAGCCCTCCCCACCCCAAGGAACCCAGACCCGGAAGTGGAAAACCTCCAGAACTCAACTGCTGCCACACTCATGGTCACTTTCACACACTCAGGCTGAGCCTCACCCATGAGGGAACCACCGGAAAACCCAGGTATGCGGGTCTTTGTGACTTAGAACTCTGGGTTCAATGGGACCAGGAACAGAGATCCTTTGCCTGCATCCCTCTGTCTCAGGCGACTCAGTACTCACGCCCATAAGCCACCTCTGGCTAGCACCAGAAAGTCTTGTTATCAGCCACCATCCAGATCACATGTCCTTCTCTCCCAGAAGGGAGCATAACATTATGCTCGCCATAACAATGCCACCAGACCCCACGCCAGGCTTTTTCACTTGGGGTGCCCCAGAGAGGGGCGGTTGAGAGCCCTTTCCGCCCCAAAGGACCCAGCGCCCGCAGCCAAAAACCTTCAGAACTCAACAACTGCCATGCTCACAACCTCTCTCCACATGCTTGGGCAGAGCCTCACCCACGAGTGAATCTATTATTGGACCACGCCGCCACATTTGCGGCTGTGCAACACTTCATATCACACACACTACCCATATTCCAAGTGTACAGCACCACATTTGATGGGGTTCAAAGTAGAAGGTAACCAATCTTATAGGGAAATATTTTTTTTGAGCGATAGCACAGCAGGTAGGGCATTTGCCTTGCACGTAGCCAACCCGGGTTTGATTCCTCCATCCCTCTCAGAGAGCCCAGCAAGCTATCAAGAGTCTCCCGCACACATGGCAGACCCTGGGAAGCTATCTGTGGCATATTCAATATGCCAAAAACAGTAACAACAAGTCTCACAATGGAGATGTTACTGGTGCCCACTTGAGCAAATTGATGAACAATGGGAGGACAATGCTCTCTATATAAAAGAACACAAGGTTCAACTTCTAACAACATGTTAGTAACCTATTATAGAAGGGCTTAATGGTCCCTGAGTGGAATACAACAATCCTCACCCTCTTTCGTCTAAGGATACTTTTTGTAGCATTTTCAGCGGTTTTTCATACCAAGGAATACAAAATACATTATTCTGGTTCTGCTTCGGGGCAGGGATGGAAACACCTGAAATATGGTAGTGGGAAGGTGTAGTGGTAGGGGGATTGGTGTTTAAATAGTAAATGGAATGAAATATTGTGAACTACTTTATAAAATTAAAAAATTATAAAAATAAATAGATATGTGCATCCCCATGTTCACTGCAAGAGTTACTCACCTTTATGTAAATTATGAAAATTATATTTGTGGGAATTATTTACATGTATTTGTAAATACATGTAAATAATTATTTGTTTACAATAGCTAAGAGTTTAAAATAATCTAATCATTAATTGAAACATTATTAAATTAAGTTGTAACATTTATGATGAAATTCTACTCAGCTATAAAAACTATGAAGTTCTGCTATTTTAATTCATGAAAACTGTGTGGACTTTATATTTTAAAATCCTTAGGTGTTTGTATTTAAAATTATGTTGTACATTTTCAGTTAAATTCAATTTTCAGTATGACTAAGAGGGTTACTTCACTATTTTTCATATTTAAGAAAAGAATAACTATGGAACTAGACAGAGGGTACCATGCTGGGTGAAGTCAGTCAGAGGAGAGGCATAGAGAATGATGTCGTTCATATGTGACATCTAAACTTAGTAAAGGAATAACAAATGTTCAAAAGCATCAGAATCAGACAACTAGTCTAAAGAACCGAGTTTACCTGGGGATGAGGAAAAAGGAGATGAATGAGAGAGGTTCTTAAGACTCTGTTGTGGGGAAGTGAGCACTCTCGTGGAGAGTGAGGTCTTGGAATAATGTATGCATGCACATAACCTTAACCGTATTGTAAATCACAATACCTCAATAAAAAAGGAAAGAAAACTTGAAAAAATCATTAGGAGTATGTTAGAAATGACTTGATATGCCGTTTAAATGCATTACCATAAAATTTATGCTGAGTAAACTTAAGAATTCTTAAATGATATTTAATCAGGACACATTAACTGTTTATAGGAATAAAAATTAAATAAACTGTCCCCTATATAGTAAAATAATTATATCTTAGGAATTACTTTTAAGATTTTACAGCAAGATATGATTTATCTTACCTTGATTCTAAAGCTTGCATTGTAAAGTGTTTAACTAAAAGGTATTTCAGAACTTCTTTTGCTTTAACATTAATTACATATGCAATCTGAGCATATTGGTAAAATTTTGAACTTCCCTTTAATATCTTTAATAAAAAATAAGTAAATATACTTTTATGGCTACATAATTTATTACATAGGAACATTTTAAGATGATGAAGCTAAACTACTAATTTAAGAATTGAAGAATTCATAAAAGTGAATGCTCATTTCTCTCCTAGATCAATCTTTAATTCAGGATTTTCCCATTTCTATCGTCATAGTTTGACACTGACAATGAAGGTGGTAAATACAAAGTTTGTGTTTACTAAGACTGAGTATTTTAACCCAGCTATTTATTATTATTGCCCTAGATAATTTTCACAAAGAAAATGAGGTTACTGGGGTCCGTTATTTTTTAAATTACATTGCCAAGACCTTTTTTTGCTTTCCACAAACAAGTTCTTGGTCCCTTTTCTTTATAAAAATCTAGGGATATGCATGCTGAAAGTAGACTATAGACCGAACATGATTGCCACTTAATTCCTCTTTTGCAAACCACAGCACCCAAAAGGAGAGAGAGAACAAAAGGGAGTGCCCTGCCACAGAGGCAGGGGGGGATGGGGGAATGGGGGGGTGGGAGGGATGCTGGGATTAGTGGTGGTGGAGAATGGGCACTGGTGGAGGGATGGGTACTCGATCATTGTATAACTGAAATCCAAGCACAAAAATCTGTAAGTCTACAACTGTACCTCATGGTGTTTCACTAATAAAATTTTTTTTAAAAAACTAGGCTACTCCTCTTTCCAATAAATTAGTTTCATATTAATGTCAATTTATAGGTTTCTTTTATATCCATTATTTTTCATTCCCTATAACATCATACTAATTCAGGTCCTCAATGCCAGTAAGAACCATTTAGCTTTATTGATATTTATTGAGACTAAATTTGGGAGTCTTCTATTAGTCATTTTAGAAAGAGTTTTTTAAAAATTAACCTTATTTAATGTATCCTTCACAATAGCTTTTTTTTAGCCTTAAAGGGAACTGGCGTTTTCCATATTCTGAAAGTTACAAAATTGACATTTCATGAAATTAAAATAACTTGTCATGCGTGTGACCTGGTGGAACGTTACATAAAACTGGGAATTTTTGGTTTGGGGGCCACATATCAAAGATTCTCAGGGTTTCCTCCTGGATCTGTGCTCAGGGATCACTCCTGGACGGCTTGGGTACCATATGCAGTGCTTGTGATTGGACTCAGATGGGCCGGGTACAAAGTAAGCTTCTTTTACACTATACTATCTCTAACCACACATAAAACTTTGTATCACCTTGACATTTTCCATTAAAACCATATAACTTTCCCACACATTGGAAATGATAAAATAATATTCCCTAACCTTGAGAAATTTGCAATTTAAAAAGGAAGATATGAGGTACACAAGAAGAACTATGGTTCAGAAATCACAAAATATCACAAATGTAACTAGACATAAAGTACAGTGTGTTTCTTGACAAAAAGTTTAGGGAAATCTTTTGAGGAGGGTAAAGAGTAGTTACAGTGGGTACTGCG